ATTTATGCAAGGAACATTAATAAGCTCAAGAAGCCCAATACAATAAGCTTTAATCATCAACCTGGAAAAACCCCCCAATGTCAATTAAACCTCATCTGGTGCCCAAAACAGGGGGAAAATCGCAGACCATAGAGCTGTTAGCTAATACAAGTCGTATCACTTCAAACCATAATACTTCAAACATCAAATCTGAGAGAATGTGAGCCCATTAACCCAAATTACCATGCATGAATAGATCGGTAAGCACAAGCGAAGCACCAAAAGAAGAAAATTACAGAACAGTAAGAATTAGTGAAATTGAGGCCGGAGAAGGTTAGGGCAAACAAGCAAAAGACCTGTTGCTTGAGGTCGTAGGGATCGGCCCCTTTGGCCTTCATATCGGCGGTCTTAGCGGCCTCTGTTTCGACCTCTTTCTCGTAGGAATGGAGCTCCTTCAGTATGCGCTTGCACGTCGATGTCTTATCTTCAAATTCCTCAGTGTTGCCATTTTTGTTAACCTTTTTTCCCCTTTTCTTTCTCCTTAAATCAGCTTGCTAGGGTTTCATAGCGGTTCAATTCAAATGAAGGAAACTGAGGGTGATGGAATTTTGTTGATCTAAATGTATATTTTAGCATTNTAACTTGTTTAATTGCCTAATTGTTGTATTTAACTAAACATAATCCTAGAAGTTTTGAAATTCTACTTAGTTGGGCTAAATAGCAATTTATTGGAAGTTTTGTCGTGAAGGTTATCACAAGATTGCTGGTATGAAGTGAGCAACGTTGCATTATTAAGAATTAATCAAATTGAAGCTCTCACCAAGTCAAGTGGTAAAAGACTCTTGCTTTAGGATTTTGCAATATATAATTTCTGATGTAAATGTAGTGCCATTATTTACGATCATTTATCTAACAAATTTTGTTTTGTTAGGAATTATTATAGATTTAATCAAACTACAAACGAAATTAATCAAAATATCACTGGACCAGCTGTGGTAGAGTTTCAAAACATATTTTTTTTCTTGCTTCAACTAGTTAATCTTGTTAAACATTTTTATTATTTTAGATTAATTCTTTTAGTGATAGCTAGTTAGCCTAGTTTATAGTTCAATTTAGCAAACATAAAACATAACAGTACTGAAATTTTGCCAAAAAAAAAATAAAAATAGATGCGATTATTTTGGAAGAAAGTTTCGTATACAATTTAGTGCCATGAATTTATGCAGGCCATATGTTTAGACCACTTAAAACTATTAGTCCTATTTCCCAAATCATCATGATGAATAAAATTTTTCCCGCTCTTAACAAACCTCTTCCAATCATGCAAAACCCTCTTCAAATCAGCAACTTTGGCCTTGATGCTTCTACAACAATTGGCATGAACAGTCGCCACAAGCTCGATATCCCGACTGTCCTTGCAAAACCCGCTGAAGTACAACGTGTCGAGATATTCTATACGGAGACCTAATCTTTTAAAAATCCCGTCACGTATTAAATTTGCTAGCACGTCTTGTTCTTTGAGTCCCGTCGAGTTTTTCCTTGTGTTGTACCATGTTTGGAACAATGAGATTGTGTTTTTGTTGGATCGGACAAAGTAAAATCCCGTGTTGATCGGGTTTTTTTCGGATTTTGAGTTGCCATTAAATCGATCGGTGCTTATTTGCATGTCGAGGGCTTTTTCGGTATTTATCATCAATCTTGTGAATGGATTTCTCAGCCATAATATATCTGTATCCTGCTACACAAAATTTTGGTTAGATTGCATTTTATGAAAATGGCCAAATTAATAGAGAAATTTATGAGAAGAAAGTCATATAGTATACTAGTTGCTTAATCATGTCTCTATAATTTAGTTTTTGTTTTTTTTTTCTTTTCATGCAAATGAGAGAAAGAAATATTATTTAAAAGTCTTTCCATTTTTTTCTCACAAAAACAAGTTATACTTTCCATCTTTGAATTAATGGGTGTAGAATTAATGTAAGTTTAGATTGATAGGTGGAAAAAAGTTAATTTCTCACGTAACTTTCAAATAATATTATCGATGATAATATACGACTTGGTCATAGGAATATTATATAGTTTCATTTTTAAATCACTTTGAATATTCAAAGTTGGAACTTGGAAGATTAAACCAATGATGTTTGGAAACAAGAACAAAAGTCGGATCATTTGAGAATGTGACATTGTTTCAGTGCTTCAATTAACACGTAAGTTCCCAATTTTGTTTTATTTTTTATTTTAATAACTCTTCAAAATATAGAACATTTTTTCCTAAAAGATTATTGGATATATACATAATTGTAACATGGACCATATGCAAGGAATTAAATAAAAGATTCTACTTCAAGTTCGTGACGTACGTAACTTTAAAAAAAAAAATAAATAAATAAATAAATAAATAAATAAATAGTTATTATGCGATAAATAGTTATCCCATAGAAGACTATAGGGATTAGAGGTCGTTATTATGCGATAAATAGTTATCCCATAGAAGACTATAGGGATTAGGGGTCGTTATTATGCAATAAATAGTTATCATTTAGGTTGGACTCGAATGCGCACTTAGGTGACTCAGCCTAACTGTAATAATATCAATCGTTAATGTATATATGTGGTGTGAAATATAAAATATTTTTCACAAAAAATGTGGTGTGAAATATTAAAAGTATTATTTGTCACAAATTTTTGTGTGGAAGCCGTCTAACTATTAGGCAGGTCGATTCATCATAATTTTTAACAAAAATTTATACTTATGCTATGAAATGTCATATTATTTTTTATAATATTTTTTAGAGTATGATATTTTAATTTGAAAGTGTGTGTATTAAGAAAATGTAAGTGTTTAATTAGGTCTTTCTAACAGTTAGAACAGTTAAACGAAATGAGCTGCTCGTGTGCTCAACTAGTTAAAATTGATATACCTGTCAAACTTTAACTTGTTTATCGTTTGTTTAGTTAACGTGTTCGGCTCGATAAAGGCTTGAGTCCAATTTCGAGTATCATAAACTCGAGACACGCTCGTTTAAAGCTTGTCAAAACACGAACTCGTGCATGACTAGTAACAAAAACTCGAACTCTGTTCGGCTGGTTTAACCTCTAACATAATGACTTTTTCTTCTTTATTGTCTTACAATAATGCTTCCCTAACACCAGCCCTAATGGGAAAACCACATTAGAATTAATTTTAAAGTTAATCCCTTAAAACTTATTTTCTCAAGTGCTAAGTGACTCATAATCCTTATAAATCTCCCTTCAATCAACTGATGGAGATGATATTGCATTGACTTTTTTTAAATAAGTATGATCATTTAACATTATTAGTTTAATTAATTAATTTATTTATTTTATTATATTATTATTAGTTCTAGTTTTGGAATGAAGTATATTTAATTATTTGAAATATATTTATTCTAGTTCTTTTCTTGGTAGATAAGTTATTTAATTTATTTAAGGTTGATAGGAGATCTATTTATNTATGCTTTCCCTACTTCACCAATCAATTTGGTGTGAATCACCTAATTTATCTAATTTATAATATTGTGGAGACCATGTCAATTAGTTTCATAATAATCTTTATATTCAAAATTAGAGGTATATATAGAGACATTTACCGTGAAGACGAAGCTAAATCCTCGGTTTAAAACCTCCAATAGGAAACGAGTCCTCCGCCACATCATCTCTATAAATCCATCACTCATGTAAACTTTCTCTCCGGCAAAATTGCCGCCGCCCGCCGCCAGCTCGTAACAGTTCAGCCGCCGGAACTCGCACCTCCGGTGGGCCGCCCGGTCCATGGACACCACCAGTAGGTGGCCCAATAGCGGCCCAGTCCCCTCCCCGGCCCAAAAGCCCTCGAGAAAGAGATCTAGCATCGTTGGGTACTCGTCTTCGTGCGGCTCCACGTAAGCTTCGTTGACGAAAGCGATTATTAACGTCTTGTTTGCCATTGAAGCTTTCTCCAGAGCTATTTGGAGATCATCTTTTTTCACCATATTTGACTGAAAAAAAAAATCAAGAAAAGGATGCATTACTTTTTCTTTTTCTTTTTCTCTCAAATGATAAAATAGCATATTATTAATCAAAACAACTCGAACCTAAATACTCCACGAACAAAATAACTAAACACCAACAGAAATAAATAATAGGAAACTTAATTTATTTTACCGATTTATTTGGCGCTATAGAGGGATGGTTAGTCGTTTGAATAAATAAAGGCGTGTATGGTAAGGTTTGCCAAGAAAATAGAAGAAGAAGAAGAAGAGCAGCTGCTAGGAATAAAGAGATGAATATTGCAAGGCTCATGAAATCGGAGCACTTTTTGGACTTCTCCATTGTTTGCTTATTAATGTTTCTCTTAGAAAAAGGCTATTTATACAAACAGGGTTTGTACAATAAATGTTAATACACACATATATATATTAATTAAATATTAATTTAAACATATATCATAATTTAATATTATTCGATGTAGTTCAATTGTATTACACGTCTATCTGTGTAGAAAAGTAAATATGTACAACCCATTGCCTCATATTTTGATTGGGCTGGACTGGGCTGACCCGGCCCGCATAAGCCTACACGCCCAAGTGTTAGGCGGTCAATTTGGGGTGAGCACGAGGTTGGAGATTCACGCTAGGCTAGGCTGCTGGAGAAGTATGTGCTTACACCTACACATTGATCTGATATCAAATTTGACGTAATAACACGTGTTATAATCATGTTATTTTAAATATCAGAACACTATCAAAAGAAATAATTAAACAAAAAACTATTGTAAAAATATTAAATTCATCAATTAATCCTAATTCTGGGTGATGTTAATTGTTGTGTATGGCTACGTGATATTACCATCATTTTAGAATAATTTTGGTGTCCATTTCGTCATGGTTATTAATATACCTTTGTTCATTTATTGAATTTGTTAAGTTATTACGGTTATTTCATTGGGTTTTGATAAGAAAATGATCGAACATAGTGGAAAATGTGATTTTATGCAAGGACAATGAATAACGAATTTAAACAGATCAAATATCTGCCAGAAATTCGTCAGAGGCCGAGACCCATCTAAATCCCACATGATTCGTGTAAGACTCGACCCAACAACACAGGTTTGGACTTGGATACGATTTTCTTTTCAATTTTTACGAAATTTCGACCAAAACTATCAAAGAGACATTATATTACGTACGGCACGTCATTCGGGAGTTTACGAGGCATTTTAGGCACTTGGAGGCCACAGAAAAAACACAGAAACACAAGGATATATAGTGATCTTAAGGTTGTTAGTACTTGAATTCTGAACTCATGTTTTATATTTATTTTTATGGTTTCGAATCCATGTTTAGAGGCTAAATTTATTAGTGATCTTAAGGTTGTTAGTACTTGGATTGAATTTATGATTTGATATCAATTTTTTCATTCTTGTTTCATGAATTCTTGATTTTTTTTTGTTAGCCTGTGTGTAGATGACCACTATTATTGTGCACTTGCGATTGGTTGAGATCAGTGAACGCGCGTCGCGACACGACAAATTTAAATTTATAAAGTTTTCCTTGACAAGCCTTCACTAACTAGTAGTAGCGGCAAGTAAGGATCGATCCCACGAGGAGCAAGAATTAAATTGTGACGATTCTCGTATTAATTGAATTAAACTACGAAAGCAATAAAAGGAGAATTGATTTTATAAAACTAAATATAAAAATAACAAAATAAAATAAAATTCAAATAAATAAGAGAAGTCCAATTTTCGGTTGAGTTATCACCCAATCTCAATCTACCGTTCGTTTTCTTTAAATTGCTAATGAATTACCAACCCTAACTAACAACAAGCTCTGTTAACCGAATTTTCCCTTACCGAATATTTAATCGAAATAAGCTCCCCGACTAAACCTAACTAGTATACAACCTAGAATAAGCTCTCTAGATTTAATATACTAGCAGCATTAATTCCTAGGAAAATAGATTAGTCTAAGCAATGGACGCAAAAGTTCGGACCATGTAACTTATGTTCACGCTGCCCTAGAGATGCACGACCCCTAGTTTACTACTAATGAAATGAGACAATAACAATTACGTATTAAAGTCCCGAATCTTGCAATTAAACTATAAATATTTAATCTAGTTGGCTAAACTAAATCAAATACCATACTCATAAACATTAAACATAGATAACATGAATCAATTCATCAACATAAATAAATACGTGTCTAGATTAATCAACAATAAATAAAGATCATCCAATTCATAGACAAATCGGAATTAGGGTTCAAACATTCCCTAAAACTGGATAAAAAAACTAGCCTAACATGCTACTAAAATAAATAAACTAACCTAGCATATTAATAAAAATAAATACTAGATAAAAGAGAGAAGATATAATCTCCCTCGTGTACGGGCGCGGCTTCCCTCGGCGTGTGTAGATTCTTTCTCTCCGTGCGTGCGTCTGACTCTCTGTCTTCGTCCTCTGTTTTCTGTCTATGCGTGCGTAATGAGTTCTCTCTCTTTTCTGTCTGCGGCCCTTTTTCTTCTCTCGTGAATAATGCGTCCTTCAATAATTGCCCAAGATCCTCTCCAAAATAATGTTGCTGCGTGGGTTCTTTTCCAATTAATTCTATGTGTCCAACAGATCAAAAACTCCTCCCTAAATTAAGTGCCTCCAACTAATTAACGAATACCCTTCAATCTCCATCAAGAATGGTTATGTGGCTCTCAAGTTTGTAATCCCCCTTATATATATTAATTCAGAACGCGCTGAGCCTATGTGACAGATTCGCATGCTTCGAAATCATATGTGGCAAAATTACATGCTTCGTTATTAGGTTCGGATTATCTATAAATATGTCGATTATTTATTATAGGGGCGCGGTCCGGGACGGTCCTGGATTTGACTTGTCCGGATACTGATCCCACTTTTATGAATCAATTATGAACGATTCGGGATGAGGCACTATTCCCACCCATGTAATACATGGGTGTTGTACTAGTTGGACTTTAATTCGAAAAACTTCTTCTAAACATGTGTTTGGGTCGTAACTAATTTGGTATTGGGAACCCAATCTCTTGCGTACACTCGCCCAATGCTCGAGATCCACAAAATACTTCAATGAACTGAAAATAAATATAAATATATCAATGTGTATGAATCTATCCAAATGATGAATAAGTGGAAAAAATATAAACGTGCGAATAAATTTAGTGTATAAATATATACTATTAAATATATAAAACGCGCACATTTTTCGACCTATCAATTAGGATGAGATAATTTATTGCTAGAATTAAGAAATTATGTCGATGGAAGTTTGAAAAAATAAATAAATAATCTTATGAAGTAGTGGGAGTTAATTATCTATTTTAAGATCGGAAAGAGATAATAACATTAATTAGTTCACGATTTAATTTGCTCGAGAGATGTTAAATTACTATCGTGATTTTTCTACAAGTAGTAAAATTAAATATGATTTACATTAAATATTATGTTCAGTGAATTAATTTCAAGGAACACATGCCCTAACATCATCTAATTCTCTTGCTATTTTTCATAATTACTTTCTTGTACTCTTAATTGTTTAGTTTAGCTTTTATATTTTACCACTCTATAGTACGTAGTATTATATTAACGGAAAAAGTTATTATTGTCTCGTGTAGCATATGCCCTTATTTTAAATAAAACCAATAATGCATTTTACAAAACTATAAAAATTCACATTTCATTTATAGAAAAACGTAGATATATCTGTCTTTAAGAAATTAATATGAAATTTGTATATGAATGCTAATTGAAAAATTAAAAAGATATTAACGTCCCTAATTAATATAAATTGTTATACCATTAATCATGTTATATTACATCAAGAGATGGGGGAATTATATCAATTGACAAACCTCATAGTGTACATGATGAGTGTTGGCTAATTCGTTTAAAAAAAATTATTGTAGTTCGCATATATAACACGAGTATCATTTTAAATGACTAATTAATGAAGAAATGCTTGATAATTTAAAACAAAACTTCTTATAACTATTCTTTCAAAAAAAGATACATATATTTCTTAATTCGGAGAAGTTTTAAAATAAAACTTCTATAACTATTCTTTAAAAACGAAATACATATTATTTCTCAATTCAGCACTCGTATTTACTCAGGTGTTCTACTCTGATCATACACCATTATACATCTTCGTCACGTTCCATGAATCTATGCATGACGTATGACTGGGCCATTGAAAGTTTCCGTACCAGTTTCCCGTACTTTTGTCATTCCGAAACTTTTTCCATACCTTCAAAACTGCCTTTAAATCTGCCACCTTGGCACTTATGCTCCGGCAACAGTTGGCGTGCACGGTTGCCACTCGCTCGATATCTCGACTGTCCTCACAGAATCCGCTGAAGTACGTAGAGTCGAGAAATCTCGTTTTGAGGCCGTGTTTTTCGAGAAACCCGTCTATCATGAGTTTTTCTAGCACGTCTTGTTCTTTCATGCCGGTCGAGTTTTCCCGCATGTCGTACCACATTTTGAATAATGACACGGTTTTCTCGTTGGATCTCACGAAGTAAAAGCCCGTGTTGATGGGAATTCGGTTTAGGGACGAGTTGCGATTGACGAAATCGACGCTTATTTGTAGGTCTATGGTTTCGTTCGAGCTCAATGATGTGAAAGGGTCCCTTAGCCATAGCACATCTGTGTCCTATCCCAAAAATTTAAACTTTAGAAAAATTAAAAACACAAAAAATGCAATTGAATATGAGTTATATACTTATATTATAATTTAAATTGTTAACTTTTTCTGGATACATCAAGAATTCGTCTTTTGACTTGTGATCTTATATTATAATTTAAGATTAGTTATATAATACCCATTTTCAGTTTTTCACATAAGTATTTGTACGACTTTAAAAAATCACTTTTTGATCACTTTGCCAATTAAGTCCCATACTTCGTGCCTAGTAATTTGTCATTACAACACCTGTTTACAAATTATAATGATTATTGTCCAAAGAAAACGTGGCATTGACCCAACCTATTCACATTAAATAAAACACAATTTAATTCTTGATGTAATGTAAAAGGAAAATGTACATGGATATATGTACATTGTAGTCCTTGAAATAGATAAGAAAAATAATTAACTATATATTGAGGGTGGTAAATAAATAAACAATTATTTTATTAATACTGAGAATGAACAAAGTGGATTGGCCTCAGATTGTCCACTATGTACCCAATTACTAACTAATGGATTCAGATAAAGACTTTGCCTCCAAGTAGAGCGTGGTTGAAATGATAGTCCTAACGAATTTAATCGGAAAAAGCACTTCAAAATTAAGAAGCTTCTTATAGTTTGCTAATATAAGGTTACATATTCGAGGGCGATTTGCAGCTCACGCTAATAAGCGGAGTCTCTTTTTTTGTA